AGAGAACTGATGGGCAAAGCAGTTAAGACTTGGCTGGTTTAACCCACAGAAACAGTTGACCTGAACAAATGGGAGCTCTTGAACTCCAGATTGATGGCTGTTTGGAAAGCATGGGACTGACCCAGACCCCCTGACTGTGGGTGTCAGTGAGGAGGCCTAGGTAATCTATGGAGCCTTGGGTAGTATTTATCCCTGGCTACAAATAGACTTTATGTGCCCATGCCACATTATGGGAGGCTCTCTCAGCTGGGATTCTTGGGGGAGGGCCCTGGATGAAATGACAGTTACTGGAGATCCAACATGTAGTGCCACACCTTCCTTGGGGTTCGGTGTGGAGATTGGGTGTGGGACTGGCAGACCTGGTGTGGAGGTCAGGGGAAGAGGGGAGGCAGAGGGAGCTGGGATTGAAATGTGAAACAAGATTGTTTCTAACCTAAATAAAAAAATATTAAAAAAAAAGAATTGCGACGTGCGGTCTTCAAACAATTTGTAACTTGTCTTTGGAGCTTGGACAACTCTGCACACAAACCTTTCTGTGACCAATGCTCTTAGGGTGTGTGGAAAGCCTGGCCAACTGAGTTTGCCTTTGGTCATATTTTTTCTTGCAGTTCTGGACACTGAACCTATGGTGTCAGCTTATGGGGCAAGTGTTCTACCGCTGAGTTAGAGTCACCATGCTGTATTCACCATTGTAGAGCTTCCAGCGTATGGTGTCAGGTTCCACAGTATGAGTCCTGTGACACTGCATTCCTTTTCTAGGCAATGGAGGGGCAAGTTCGTCTCTAGCAACTATCTACCAGTCTCTGCTCCAGGTTCTCATATCTGAAGAAGTACAGCTTGAGTTGTTGCTTCCAACACCGTGATACAGTTCCCAGAGAGCACATAAATAATTCATGGACTGTTCCAGCTGCGAGACTGAAATGATGAAATTGACGGATGTGGCTGACTTCTGGAAGATGACGGAATAGTGGCTGCTCACACCTTTCATTCTGATTAGATGAAGAAAACTGACAGATAAGGACAATCATCTCTGCCGAGAAACTTATGCCAGTAAATTTTGGTGTAAGTTTTGCTGTGTCTCATAGGAACAGACTAGGGTGACTTCCTTTCTCTTCCCACTTGTGCTGGTTAGACCTGAGTCACTTTCTGGTCTGCATTGGATCCTGTGGATCAACAAAACACAGCTGATTGTGTGATGTGAATGAAACAGTGTAGGAATTAGATTATCTTAAGACTGAGAGAGAAACCTAACTGAAGACACATTGTGCTTGCTTTTCTCCAATCCCTGTTCCCTATCAGGTCCTTGTGATCTGTCATATGCTAGGGGCAACGCTTCCTGATTAATATATCCTTAGCTGTATGTGAGACAGCCATACGAGGGAAGGCCAAGGCCAGCAACACACAGAGCAGGCTGTGGAGAGGCATGTAGGACATGTCCCTCTATACCAGTGCATCTGCTTTGCCTCAGCTCAGTGTCCAATGTCTGAGTGTCTGTCAGTATGCATGTGTACCACCTATGTTTCTTACACTGACTCAAGCAGGGGGTGGGTATTGAATGATCATAGGCCACAAATTCCATGTACAGAGAGAAAAAATGTAGCTCATAACAGATTTTTACTTGCTTCCTGTCTTTCTTGGTAGCTAAAAGAGGCAGCCATTAAAAGGCGTCATGGGATAACCTATCCCTGCTGAGGGTAAAGCTGCTTTGCACACACGGGTATTGTTCAGTGAGATAATGTGGGAGATCCGAAGTCAGATTCATTATGAGCCATGCACAATCTTTAATGCGCTTGTAGACCATTGTTCATGTTTACTTCTCTCCAAACGTTGTCTAATAGAGGTTAATAAAGAAAAGGCTGCACAGGTATATGCATTCCCTGTGAAACACTGGGACTTGAAACAACCTTTCTTCCTTACCAAGAGTGAGGATCTGTATAAATTATGCATTTTAAAAAATACTTTTAAATTCTATGGTAAAGGAAGTCCATCGGAATTCTAGATGGTCCCTGTAACCCAGTCTCTCTAAGTAAGCAGGAGACCATGGGAGCTCACAGCAGCCCGGGTGGCTCTCTATGGCAGGACTGTGGTCCTACTCTATGCTCTTGGCAGAACAGGTGCAGGCTTTCCCACGGTCATGAAAGTGTGGCTTTAGGGTGTATCAAGTTTGTATTGGACTGGGAAATTGTTTGTATTAGAAATATTCTCTCTTTTTTTCTGTGTGATTTGATTGGCTAGCAATATGGCCTAGTAAAGAATAAAGCTTAAAAGGTCTGAGAGATGGGTTGGTGATGAAGAATACTTGGGGCTCAGTCATGAGGATAATAGTTCAGGTTCCAGTTTGCTGGCCAGCCAGCAACTGCTTATTACTGAAATGCCTAAGGTGAGGTCATCCTGTTCTTGCTTCAGTTTGTGTTTACTTAGACAGTTCTCAGCTCTCTACTTTCCTCCCAATAATGCTCACACCTGCATTAGCAACACATTTGAGATGTCTATGATTTTGACCATATTCCAGATATGTTAACTGAAATAAGTAAACTAAAATAACCAGAAAAGATATGAGTCAAAATAATTGGCATGCTATGTCTAAAATAATTACCGTGCTCTGCCAGAAATGAGCATTTCAAGGCTACTTTGGCATGACTTTCATCTAACTTTGATGTAAATTATGGTCTCTGTGTTTTTCACCTTTAAAATATCTGTACTTGCAAACTTGTGTACTAAGAGACTTTCAGAGGCATGAGCCCTCTCTTTGTTTGACCATCAATAAAAAGGACTTAAATTTTTTCATTGATTGAATCAGCATGATTGTCAATAACTATGTTGCATGGATCATTTCATTTATTCCCATTCCAAAGAATTGACCCCCCTCTTCTTGTCTCAAAGAAGCACTGGGAATCACTCTCCCAACACATGTGTGCATACACACACAAATAAACACATGTGCACACACACAAAGAAACAAAGAGCTAAACTTTTGAAAACAAAGACAAACAATAAAGGAAGCTTGGAAATAGTTTATTAAATTGATCTGTGATAAGGTCTAAAAGGCTTTCCTGAAACACAATATGGATTCTTCAGGTGATTCTCGTATTTACTCATTTCAGCTGTTCTGACTCTGGTTTGTTTGAAGGTGAAATGTGACTAGTCCTGGTTTCCCTGTAGAGACAAAACAGACACCCTCACCCACAACCCCTTCCTTCTCACCCCAAACTACTGGGACTTCACATCAGTCAAAATCTGCTCAGACAAATGACATCAGAATAGGCTTGTGAGGCTGAAGTTTCCTGTTGTGTCCCAGAGGGGCTGATTGTGACGACACAACACTGGGGGAATCTTAGTGGAAGTCTGGGGAAAAGGAACAAAGCATGGGGGAGCCTCTGTGACCGTGTTCAGTGATGATATTCATTGCCATAGGATCATGTCCATGTTTGACATGATTCTGCAGATGTTACAGCTTTTAGGGAAACCAATGATCATTGACAAAACTGTGGATATGTGAGCATTGTCCAAAATAAACATTTCATTCTTCAAACACTGAAGGAATGAAAACTCTCTTTGACTACGACAAAATGCCTCTGGTGAAGGAATTTTGTTAATCTCCAAACCCCCAAAACTGACTTATAGCTGGCCACCACATGAAGACACCAAAGTGGTGATAACTATGCTAATCTAAATCCCCTTGGCCTCTCAGACCCTCTGATTCCTTTACCAAATTCCCAACCTCACATCCCTTACAGAGAACAGACTCCTGCTATGCTGTCCAGAGCTTCCAAGTTCTCCCTCCTGCATCCCGGACTATGATTCTGCTCTCACACTGTAACCCCGACATCATACTCTATTTTACCTGTGAACTTTCTATAACACACACACACACACACACACACACACACACACGCACACACACACACGCACACCATCCAACTTTCTTATCTGTTTTAAACTTGACAATAATGTAAATCTTCGAACAAAACAAGGAGTTCACATACTGGCTATCTTTTACTGTTAACAGTCAATTGATTTGATTTGAATTCTAGCTTTTCTTTTTACACATTGAAAATCTGTGTAATGTGTATTGGTGAAGAGATATTGCATGTTGTGCATTTTAAGTTAAACAACTTCCCCATTTTTTAATGTTTGTTTCATTTTCCTGGTACAGTCTTTCAATTTGTTGCCCAGGCTAGTCCCCAATTCCTAGACAAAAGTCATCCTCCCTTAGGCTTCTGGGTATCTGGGGCTACCAGAACCCTGAACTGTGGCATGAACAAATTTAAAGATTTTTAATGCAATTTTTGTTGGCATATAAAGGGGCATCATGAAAGTACATCTTGCAAAGTGTTAGGCAATAAGAGGCCCTTCTTCCATCTTGTGCACTGCTGGGGGCCATAACAACTGCAGCTGCTTTTTACTAAGTAAAAAGCTCTAAGACCTGAGAGATGACTCCGTGGGTAAGTCACCTGCCTGTTAGCCTGATGAACATAGTTCACACCCTGTAACCTACAGCATGGAAGGAACGAGGGAACCCATACCCCAAGATGCCTTCCAAACTCCACACACGGACAAGCATTTGTTCACTTGCACACACACACACAAACACACACACACATATAGTTTAAAAAATAACTTAAAATACTTTAAAGAGTATCATATAATATTCACATGTAAAGTACAGGACATTATATATGATACCCTTGCACTTACAAGGAAGACTCAGAAGCTAATGATCAGTAAGTTTCTGTATATGAATTTGGAATATTACTTGTAGGTACAGATTAGAAAACAACATATAAACTTGGTGAGGTGGGTCAGTGTGTAAAGCATTTGTCTTGGAAGCCTGGTGACATGATTTTAAACCTAGGAACTCAGGTAACAGAGGAAGTAGAGAAGTGAATTGATAAAACTGTCCTCCATGGGGGCACTGTGGAATACACACACATACACACACACACACACACACACACACACACACAAGCTAACAACAAAACAAAAACATAATAATGATAGAATTTGAGAATATCAACTTACAATATTTCATTTGTATTTCTGAGATTTCTTAAATAAGAGGCTGTGGTCACATAAATCACCACTTCCCTGGTCATCAGAGGAAACTAAGGTAAAAGACAATTCTATGTGATTTCTATTACAGAAGCCAAAATCAAAGTGTACTGGTATTGGACTGTGATAATCATACACTAACATTGTTGACAAGAGTTTAGGAAGATGGAGCCTTATATAATTTAAATTGGTACAAACCAACCACACAGAGAACTATTTACACAACTACTCAGTAAACTATTCAACTAAACTAGATATGGAAATGAATGTAAAATTCCAGTAGTGTCTGAGACACAAAGGGAGACTGGAAAAAAGCAGCCATGACTTCAGCTTGTTCTGTCTGTGGCTGAATGAGTCTACTCTTTACACTCACTGTGTCACCAGTCACCTACTCCACCAAATGAAAACTGCTCTGCACCTCTGCCAGGCTCAGCCCCACAGCAGGGTTTTCCTGTAGCCTCAGCTGCAGGTTTGGGTGTGGGCTGCAGGTGCCTGGAGAGCACTGTGCACTTGCTGCACAGAAGTAGGTGGCTGAGTCTCCAGGCTGAGAATCTGTGATGTGCAAGGAAAGCTGTTTATCACTTTCACTGAAGAAGACTGTGAATCTTCCATCTTCCTTTTTATTCGACACTGAACGTATGGCTATCAGGAGTGCAGGGCCTCCTCCAGGGATCTGCCTGTACCATGGGAAGTAGTCAAATGCACTGTTCTCATAAGTGCAGTTCAGAACTGAAGTCCCTCCTGCCCAGACTGACAGAGATTGGGGACTTTGTCTCACTTGCTGCTGGTCACGTCTCTCCTTCTGGCCACTCACCCCTGTGTATAGAAATTACAAATGTCATTAGGTTCCCAGGTCTGTTCTTTCTCTTTATGTTTTCAGCATTCATGATTTTGTCTGGTACCCCAGTCTCCCATGCCTCCACATTAATCCCACATGCTGAGGTTTCTCTTCAATGACTCACAGGCTGGGTGAAGGGCTAGGACTACAAATGATGCTTTCAGGATCTTGTCCATTCCTCCTAGAATGAAGCTTGGAGAAAACGCAGGTGGCCTTTTGTCTCCCCCAGAACACAGACTCCAACTTCACTGTCACCTAGTTCTTTCAACAGGCTCCACCCCTCACAAACACTTTGTCTAAAGCTATTTCTAGCACAGGAAGCACTTCCCATTGTGCTCAAATTTAGTACTGCTGAAAGTGCAGTCATTGAAAATTAGAAATCCCTTTCTTATAAGGAACCATTCGTTACATGCTGGTGTTAACATATAGCACGTTGCTATAGCCACCACAAGTGGCAGTATACACATGGCTTACCCATAGATCAGTACTATGTTAAAACTCATCAAAGATGATTCTTATAGTAGATGGTAATTAATACAGACACCCACTGGACAATGTGCTTAGAGGGAGAGATTTTGGGGCACTCAGCTCTAAATGTGATGTCTTCATCAAAGTACTCCCTGAAAGTCCAGGGATCTATTTAGAATAGTGGGTGGAAAGATTGTTAGAGTCATAGGTGATGACTGACTCCAAGGAACAGTGTCTTACAGGTACAATAGGACTGATCCACATATGACCTCACTTCACTGAGTTTGTGGCAGAATGCACAAAACCTGCAGTTTCAAAATTGAAAAATCCAAGCACTGAGAAGGGGAAATATTCTCACCCCTAGCAAAGAAGCTATTCGCAGTTGATACCTGATGGGAAAGGGAAAGTCATTCTTCACCAAATGGAGGGTCACCCATTATATCAACCACACTCCATGGCATGTCCCAGGCCCTGAACTCCACCCAAAATGGGCTCTTTGCTTCATTTTGTTTTGTTTTGATATTTTCCCTCTTATTAGTTTCTTGCTTTTAAATCCTTTTGTATTGGAGAGAGAGGAAAGAAGAAAGATCATGAAGTTGGGTAGGTAGGGAGGTGGGAGAGGAGTTGGGGAGCTGAAGTATGATCAAAATATATTTTATAAATAGTTTAAATAAAAGATTTTTAAAAAAAGAAAGAGAAAGAAAAGTTGCCAATGATTCAGCTATTCTACTTGCTGGCATTTATCCAGCTAACTGAAGTTATCAAGCTAAAAAGGTACCTAACATATGCATATTTATAAGGAACCATTACATATTGGTTCCAGAGCAAGACCATGATAACCAAGAAGTAGAAACAGTCTGGTGCCACCTGTCACTACACAAATAAAGAAGATATTGCATATGAAACAAGAGAGCATATCCGGTCACATGGAAGAACAAAATCATGTCATTTGTCAGAAAATGGATAGAATTGAAGGATGTATTAATCAAAATAAAATATCACAAATTTTAAAGAAAAAATATATAGTTGTTCTCATTTGTGAAAACTCGAAAAAGAAGAACAAAAGTAGAGATAATCTGAAGATAAAAGCGAGTTTAGTTGACGAGGAGGATGAGGTGATGCATATTTGCTGAGTACCTAACTGCCTACTGTATGGGAGTGCTCGGGAGTCTTCTTTATCAGGCATGATTTCAATCCCCATTCTAGTCTCAGCACACAAGAACAGAAAACTGAAGGCTACCAAAGACACCCGTGTGTCTAGACAAGACCCTGAAGGAAAGGGTGTGGACACTGATTACTGAGCACTCAGAGGAAATCCTGATGGAGGAGACATATCTGGCTTCAAATCATGAGAAGACTTTTCAGGGGAAAGGATATAACATAATCCTAGGCATAGGTCATATCAGGGTGGCTGGAGATTGGATCAAGTGTAGTTGACAGTCTTACTGATGTATATCAGAGAAGTTAAAGTGGGCCCGGCTGTGAAGGACAGCATGTATCTTTAGTGTTCACTTGAAAATTCCTGTTTGTCAACCCTATTGTCCCAGGATAAACAGATATGATATATGTAAACATCTAGATAGATATATTTATCTGTTGTTCTCTAAATATACTTAAGCAAGTTAGGAGATTACTTATTTTATGCAGTTTTAAAATGAAACTGTGTTTACATAATTATCTTCTCCATGTCCTTCCTCTAATCTTTACTGTATTCCTCTAATATCTACTGTATTCCTGCCCTTTTTCACTTCCAAAATTCATGGGCCATTTTAAAAATTATAGTTACACATATATGTGTAAATAAATATACAAATGCGGCCTAATGAGTACATAATCTCTGGCTCATTTGTGAGTGTTTAGAAGAAACAAACTTCATCTGCTCTGATGCAGCACTGCCCCTCTGTGGCCAGATGTTGAAGTCTTCACTCAGCAGTTTCCCAAGCTTCCTAAAGGTTTCTGTGCAGAAAGCCTCCACCAATGAGTGGTCCTCTGGCACCAATATTCCTTCCCATGGAAAAGATCCTGTTCTTGTTGAGGGATCTACAGCATACTTTCTGTCTTGTACTGAGTTGTGCCTCAGGGGATCTGAAGTCTTGCTTAAAATGCTGGACACACCTGGGAAGAACTATGCTTCTGCAGTGTGACATACATACCATACTGTTGGGGACTGCTAGAATCTTGAACAAAATGGAGTCTGTCAGCCATTTCTTGGCCTTCTGCTTACGTGACTGCGAGCACACATGCCCTTGAGAAAAGGAAAAGGTTAACCATAAAAGTTAAATTTACACAGGGCAGCCCACCCGCCTAGCCAGGGGGAAGTAACCCTTATAGAACAATTGCCTTTGTTGGCAAAGGGTTAATGTGTTCCTTTGGATGCTTTTACCATAATGATAGGTGGAAGTAACCCTTATAGAGCAATTGTCTTTGTTAACAAAAGGTTAAAGTGTTCCTTTGAATACTTCCTACCCCTCCCTAATTCCTGCACCTGACTTACGCTGACAAGCATTTGTGGAATGCAACTAATGACTGATGGAAAATTACAGCTTTGTCTTTACCTTATTTGGTGTATATTTGAGTTGAGACTTGATTGGCATGCTTGTACTGCCCCCTGAGATTCTTTTTCTATAAGTACCATCTCACCCCAAAAATAAACGCTCTTGATCAGTGAACATTGTCTTGAGCCTGTTTCCTTTAACCTCTTGAAGTTTACTTTTAAGATTGGATCTGCTTGTGAAGACCCACCAAATTAGCAGCGACCCTCATCACCTCATCCCCGCGGGTCGGGGATCCCCTCCGGGGGTCGCACCATACCTGATTTGAGGCCTTTTCACAGCACACAGTGGGTCCTCAGGCTACATTTCTGCCTAGAGGATCCTTCTATTCTCATTAAATCAAGCCATATAGACAAGAAAATAGCCTTATGTAGACTTTAAAATGGATGATTCTTTAGCCTTCTTCCCAGTACTTGATAGTCATCATTTTACAGAAAGGCATCATAATAGAAATTATTTTCTGGGACTGCAACAAAGCTGCCATCCCGGCCGGAGCCATGCAACCCAGATCTCAGGTCTTCTCTTCCACCAACGGGACCAGGGGACCAGGTGGGAGACTACGCACCCCAGATTCCTGGGCTTCTTCTCCACCCACGGGACCCAGTCTAGGACCAGGAAGAGTAGAACTACCAGAGTATTGGACTTGCTTGCAAGACCCAAAATATACTGGTCCCCTAACCACCAGACCAGTAAGGGGCTCTTTCTGCAGCCACTAGAAGAACAGGTGGGAAAGACACATTACAAAAACACACTCAGCAACAGAAAAGCAAATATGACACCACTAGATTCTAGAGACTCCACACCAGCAAGATTCAAACATTCCAATGCAAATGAAGCAGAAGAGAATGACCTTAAAAACAACTTCATGAAAATGATAGAGGCCCGAGAAGAGGGTATAAGAAAATCCCTCAAGGAAATGGAAGAAAAAGCAAACCAAAAAATGCAAGAAATGGAAGAAAAAGCAAACCAAAAAAGGCAGGAAATGGAAGAAAAAACAAACATAAAAAAATTTAAAAATGCAACAAATGGACAAAAAGACAAAGTGAAAATTCCAAGAAACAATTCAAACAGTGCAAGGGTTGAAAACTGAAATAGAGACAATAAAAAACCACAATCTGAAGGATGGCTGGAAATACAAAAGCTGGGCAAATGGTCAGGTACTACAGATACAAGCATAACCAACAGAATACAAGAGATGGAAGAGAGAATCTCAGGTGTTGAAGATACACTAGGAGAAATAGATTCATCAACCAAAGAAAATCTTAAGTCCAACAAATCCCTAACACAAAACATCCAGGAAATATGGGACACCAAAAAAACCAAAACAACAACAACAAGAATAACAGGTAATGAAGAAGGTGAAGAAAACTGCCTCAAAGGAGCAGAAAACATATTAAAAAGATCACAAAAGAAAACTTTCCCAAACTAAAGAGAGACATGCCAATGAAGGTGCAAGAAGCTTAGAGAACACCAAATAGAGTGGACCACAAAAATGTCCCTTCGCTAAATAATAATCAAGACCCAAAATATACAGAATAAAGAAAGAATATTAAGAGCAGCTAAGGAAAAAGGCCAACTAACATATAAAGGCAACCTATCAGAATTACACCTGACTTCTCCATGGAAACTCTGAAAGCCAGAAGGTCCTGGATAGATACTCTACCAACACTAAGAGACCATGGGTGCAAGCCTAGACTACTATACTCAGCAAAACTCTCAATCACTGTAGATGGAGAAAACAAGATATTGCATGACAAAACTAGATTCAAGCAATACATATCCACCAACCCAGCCCTACAGAAAGTTCTGGAAGGAAAACTCCAACCCAAGGAAGTTAACTACAACCAGAAAAACACAGGCATTATATAATCCACTTTACCAACAGCCAAAAAAGGGGGTGGAATTCTACATATAATTCCAACAACAACAACAATTCCAAATCAAAAAAGAATGAGCAATCAATGATCATTAATATCCCTCAATATTAATGGCCTTAACTCACCCACAAAAAGACACAGGCTAACACAATCGATTCGAAGACAGAACCCAGTCTTCTGCTGCATACAAGAAACACACCTCACCCTCAAAGACAGACATTACCTCAGAGTTAAATGTTGGGAAAAGATTTTCTAATCAAATGGACTCAAGAAAAAAGCAGGGGTAGCAATCCTAATATCTAACAAATTAGACTTTAAAACAAAATCAATCAAAAGAG